CCCCCTTCCAGTCCGAACGCTTTCACCCCCCTTCCAGTCCGGACGCTTTCATCCCCCTTGCAGTCCGGACGCTTTCACCCCCCTTCCAGTCCGGACGCTTTCACCCCCTTCCAGTCCGGACTCACCCCCCTTCCAGTCCGGACGCTTCACCCCCCTTCCAGTCCGGAACGCTTTCACCCCCTTCCAGTCCGGACGCTTGGGGGGGAAGATTTTTTTTTTTTTTTTACACGGATCGCTTTTACACCTAAAAAGGCTGTAAAAGCAATAATTTCTCCTTCTCTCTGGCTGCATTCTTGCAGCCATTGAGAAATACTGTGAGATCTGTAATTGGTCACAGTTTGTCACATGGTACAAGGCTGTTGTGAATAGCCCTGTACCATGTGACCTCGGAGATCATTCACAGATTTCACACGTAATAAGCAATGATGGCAGAAGTGACATCTTGCTTACTACTCTTCATGTGATCACTGATTGCCCAATCAGTGGTCACATGATTTGGACCTCACACAGAGGTCCCATACAACGATCGGTGTTCCAGTCTGTCCGGAGGACACAGCGGGCACCGGATCGCGGTGCTGTGCGCTCCCAGAGAGTGCGCACAAGCAGGGGGTGGGGAGACTGTTTATAAATGGCCACCCGCTCCTGCACTGCTCCCGTCCAGCAGTTTATATACATGGGCCGGACGGGAAGTGGTTAATTTAGTTCTATTTTGCCTTCCCTGGTTCTTCTCTGCCCATCAATGAGCTCATTAAATTCTTAAATACAACTTTTCCACTGTCCATGGGTCTCTGTGCTTCTCTATGCAATGCAGGCAGATTGTAGCAGGTGGGAGGGGCAGGAAGGGTTCTGTACATAGCTTTCTGAAAACATTACAGTACCCTGCCTCAGTACTCCTCTGTCTCACAGTCCCTCAGCTCTGATGCAAGCAACGGGCTGGCTGTGTGGAGGAGTTATGCAAATATCAAAATGCCTTGATGGGGGGGGGGGGGGGGTTCAGTATGGAGGAGAGGGTGTTCCTAGGCAGGATGCACTTGCATGCAGGGCCCCACCCCCCCAACCCCCTAGTTAATGCCAACAAGTTTCGCTTAGCATGCATGGCTGAAAGAATTGAAATCCAGTGAGACAAATGAGTGAGCCAGGGAGAGTTTGGTTCGAGAGGAAGGGGCTAGATCAGTGGTTCTCAACCTTTCTAACGCCGCGACCCCTTAATACAGTTCCTCATGTTGTGGTGACCCCCAACCATAAAATTATTTTCGTTGCTACTTCATAACTGTAATTTTGCAGTGGGAGGAGTAGTGCCCCATCGTTGGTGTCAGTGGGGGGGAATAGTGCCCCATCGTTGGTGTCAGTGGGGGGGAATAGTGCCCCATCGTTGGTGTCAGTGGGGGGGAATAGTGCCCCATCGTTGGTGTCAGTGGGGGGGAATAGTGCCCCATCGTTGGTGTCAGTGGGGGGGAATAGTGCCCCATCGTTGGTGTCAGTGGGGGGGAATAGTGCCCCATCGTTGGTGTCAGTGGGGGGGAATAGTGCCCCATCGTTGGTGTCAGTGGGGGGAATAGTGCCCCCATCGTTGGTGTCAGTGGGGGGAATAGTGCCCCATCGTTGGTGTCAGTGGGGAATAGTGCCCCATCGTTGGTGTCAGTGGGGGGAATAGTGCCCCATCGTTGGTGTCAGTGGGAGGAATAGTGCCCCATCACTGGTGTCAGTGGGAGGAATAGTGCCCCATCACTGGTGTCAGGGGAGGAATAGTGCCCCATCACTGGTGTCAGGGGGAGGAATAGTGCCCCATCATTGGTGTCAGGGGGAGGAATAGTGCCCCATCATTGGTGTCAGTGGGGGGAATAGTGCCCCATCATTGGTGTCAGTGGGGGGAATAGTGCCCCATCATTGGTGTCAGTGGGGGGAATAGTGCCCCATCATTGGTGTCAGTGGAGGAATAGTGCCCCATCATTGGTGTCAGTGGGGGGAATAGTGCCCCATCATTGGTGTCAGTGGGGGGAATAGTGCCCCATCATTGGTGTCAGTGGGGGGAATAGAGCCCCATCATTGGTGTCAGTGGGGGGAATAGAGCCCCATCATTGGTGTCAGTGGGGGGAATAGTGCCCCATCATTGGGTGTCAGTGGGGGGAATAGTGCCCCATCATTGGTGTCAGTGGGGGGAATAGTGCCCCATCATTGGTGTCAGTGGGGGGAATAGTGCCCCATCATTGGTGTCAGTGGGGGGGAATAGTGCCGCATCATTGGTGTCAGTGGGGGAATAGTGTCCCATCATTGGTGTCAGTGGGGGGAATAGTGCCCCATCATTGGTGTCAGTGGGGGGAATAGTGCCCCATCATTGGTGTCAGTGGGGGGAATAGTGCCCCATCATTGGTGTCAGTGGGGGGAATAGTGCCCCATCGTCAGTGGGGGGAATAGTGCCCCATCGTCAGTGGGGGGGAATAGTGCCCCATCATTGGTGTCAGTGGGGGGAATAGTGCCCCATCATTGGTGTCAGTGGGAGGAATAGTGCCCCCATCATTGGTGTCAGTGGGAGGAATAGTGCCCCATCATTGATGTCAGTGTGGTGGAGGGGGAAATAGTGCCCCATCTTTGGGGTCAGGGAGAGGAATAGTGCCCCATTCTTGGTGTCAGTGGGGGGAGGAATAGTGCCCCATCGTTGGTGTCTGTGGGGGGGAGGAATAGTGCCCCATCGTTGGTGTCAGTGGGGGGGAGGAATAGTGCCCCATCGTTGGTGTCAGTGGGGGGGAGGAATAGTGCCCCATCGTTGGTGTCAGTGGGGGGGAGGAATAGTGCCCATCATTGGTGTCAGTGCGGGGGGGGGAGGAAATAGTGCCCCATCATTGGTGTGTCAGTGGGAGAAATAGTGCCCCATTGTTGGTATTAGTCACACAAATGATGGGCACTATTCCTCCCACTGACACCAATGATACTTACCTTGCTGACCCCTGCTCCAGCCTGGGCTCACTCTCTCACTTACCTGTCAGCTGTCTTCCTTCTCTGGCCGCTCTCCTCTTCACTTACTCCGGCAGTTCCCTCGATCTTCTTAGATCTACGCGCGCTGCCGCTCGGCTCCTCCTCTCCAAGCTCCACCTCCTCGCCGGTGATTGGCCGCCTGTGTGCCTCTCCTGAGCTACAGTTCCGGTGGCCAATCAGCGGCGAGGAGGCGGAGTTGTTGAGGGATCCCGGAGGTGTGGCCAGGTGACAGGGCAGCGTGTCATCCCGCCCACACATCGACTGAGTCAGAGGAGCGGTGTGTCTCGGTTCCTAAGACCATCGGAAATATGTGTTTTCCGATGGTCTTAGGCGACCCCTGGGAAATGGTCGTTCGACCCCCAAAGGGGTCGCGACCCCCAGGTTGAGAACTGCTGGGCTAGATGATGCTGAATGTCCTCCAGCCAGGAAATGAGGCGGAGCTCTATCTTACTGCAGCTTCTAATGCTCATTGGGAGAAGCTCACAGTGTGTGGTGAAATCAGAGTAAGCCATTTTAGTCCAGGAGAGGAGCCGCTACAACTGTGCCAGACTGAAGGCCGGAGATCAGCTTTAAAGTTAACACCATAAGGCTTTAAAATTACAATTTGTAGGAAGGTGGCAGAAAATATGTTTTCAGTGTGTAGCAGGCTCCTTGTACAAGAGGATTCAGAAGGAATCACATGTTGAGCAGTCAGTCCTTCCTCTCTCTCCCCTATTTGTAAAACCTGGGCATTCTGCCAAGTTCATGACTCATCCACTACACAGCAAAGAACGCTGGGAAGGGGAGGAAGCAGGAAGTGAAGTGGGAGAACAGGGAGACAGGAGGCTGGAGAAAAGACAGGGACATGTGGAGCCCGTCCAAGCAGAGGAGGAGGCACTACAGCACCCAGCGCGGATAGAGGGACCCTGCTGTGTGTTCAGAGTCTGGTGAGCTGTCCCCCTGGAGAGAGTAAGACACACCATTTACACTTTGCATATAGACTGGGACATCCACACCCCACTGCTGGGATCTCACCCATCCGGGGCCCTATGCAAGCCACAGATCCCCCTGCCTGCTTTGCCCCTCACCACCAGTGTAATTGAGACTGTCTGCCCCGGGGACTGACACATACTGGGAGATTGCATCCTGCGACTGCCCCTGGTCTTGGGGTGCTCTGTGTTGCCTTTAGACACTGAGGTTGGACCCTCTCAGCCCAGAAACCTAGTGAAATCTGATGTAACCCACACCAGCTGAAACTCCAAAGCAGCCTTCAGCTGCTATTTACTTCATTGTAAGGACTAAACGTGCACCAACTAGAGCTCCACCGTTACAAGGACTGAGGTGGGGGAATCTGGCTTAGTAGCTTTATTAGAGGTACCTCTTTATTGCATTCTGTTCTGACTCTGAGGTGATTTTTGGCTAACGCCCCTCAGAAGCAGAATCATACACCGGTGTGGGTAATATATTTCATTGATAGAGTATAAGTAAGTTTATTTGTTTGATATCAGTTGTATTCTGCTTAAAGTGCGGCTCTGCCATCCGGAGACTCTTGGCTGTGAAGCCCTCTAGTGGCAGACCAAATTTACTGCATTGCATTAAAGAAGAAAAGTAAGTTTTGAAGTTGAAAGGGGAACCCCACCCCTCTACACACTGCATTTCATTCTCCAGAAAATTGTTCTTGTTTCATTTAACCCTGTGTCAGCAAATTTCTTGGCGGGGTACTTGCTATTCATTACCAGTTGTGCCAGAGGGATTGGGTTTGCTTAGGGTTGGATCTATTGAGCGCAGGACCCATAATATATTCCAGCTTGTCCCAAGGGGCAGTGCTACAAGTGGTTTATATCAAAGCTGGTAACGCTCGAAGTTATAAATCATAGGATAAGAGAACAGAGGCAGAGAGACCCGTGGACCTCATGTCAGAAGATGACCCCGGATAACAGATCATTTCTATGCTCCTGGGGGTTCCCAGAGATGGTCCTTCAGACTGAGATACGTGTACAACTGACAGACATGTGACCTTGGAGGAGGACAGCCAATAATAGACGCACCTCTCCGGCCTCTTCCAGGCTGTTCATCTGCTCTAGCTTCTTGGTCCAATACCTGGCTTCTTCCTCGGGGATATCTGGAGGAGGACAGGAGACATCAGGATACACAGGGGATGGAGAACAAGGACAAATCATTTCACTCCATACATTGACTGACTCTTCCAATCAGATAAAACGAGCGCTGGATAAACATATAAAAAGAAGCAGCTAGTATGAAAAGGTAAAAACCTCAAACCCTCTCCTTAATAATAAAATAAAACTCATGCAGCGCTAAAAGTATGATAAACACATAAAATCGTAAATTATAAATTATATAATACCAATATAACAAAATTAAAAAATATGAAAGTGACCAAATCAATGACCTTATCTGGTATAGTGACATAAATAGATAATAATAAAAGATGACAATCTATAATATCCACAAAGGTTTAAAAATATGACAGTGGCCAAGTTCAATGACCTCATCTATTATAGTGACATAAATAGATGACAAGATGTAATATCCGAAAAAGTTTAAGGTGCCAGAAATCAATACACACACAATGGCATATGGTGAAGTATAGATGTGATGCGTACGTCTCCAATTGGCGTTTCCAGGTGAATATGTGATTAGTCTCTGATTAGTGTAGATCCGTGATGGTGAAAGATAAAATAAATGGCCGTAGATTGCACGCACCAGAGAGCGCAAATGAATGCGCATTTGAGTATTAACCATTAGCCGCCCGGCCAATGGCCCTTTGGCGGCTTCAAAAGTGCTTCGGCATTGGCGTGCTCTCGCACATGCGCAGTTTGCGCTAATGCAGAGCCTCGCAGCGGCGCGATCTGTCACCGGCCGTGTACCTCGGACACGGCCGATGACAGATCTGAGTACCGGCCCCCGTTGCTGGTACCATGTGACCTGCTGTGACCAATCACAGCAGGTCACATGACAGTTGTATACAATGGATGACTTCATTCATGCCATCCATTGTATACTACTGCCTAGCTGTGAATGGTCACAGCTAATCACATGCACATGTCATGTGATTAGCTGTGACTAAATCACAGCTAAGCACAAAAAAAAAAAAAAAAAAAAAAAAAAAACGGAATGAATCGATTTCATTCAGGTAAATGCTTGCTTATAGCAAAGTAATTCTTTGCTATAAGCAAATTGTGTAAAAGAAAAAAAAATACTGATCACTTCCCCAAAGTAGTACAATGTTACTATGGTAACATTGTACTACTTTGGTCATAGTAAAATATGAAAAAAAATCTTAAAAAAAAAATGTAATAAAAAATTAAAAATAAAAAAATAAAAAAAATTAAAAAAATATATATATTTTTTTTTCATACTGTCACCAGTCAGTGTCCCTGCTCACCGCCATGCCAGTTATATGATGACGCTGTACTGCACTGGTGACAGTATGTAAAAAAAAAAAGTGTATTTTTTTTTGTCAATTTTTCGGAAAATTTAAAAAATTATTTTCAACTTCAAAAAACTCGCCATTCCTCTTATGAAGTATGTCGGACTGTCTACTCTGCAAAAAGGGGTCATTTGGGGATATCTGTCCCGTCCTGACATTTGGGGGATATCTGTACTGTCCTGACATTTGGAGGATATCTCTACTGTCCTGACATTTGGGGGATATCTGTACTGTTCTGACATTTGGGGGATATCTGTACTGTCCTGACATTTGGAGGATATCTCTACTGTCCTGACATTTGGGGGATATCTGTACTGTCCTGACATTTGGGGGATATCTGTACTGTTCTGACATTTGGGGGATATCTGTACTGTCCTGACATTTGGGGGGATATCTGTCCCGTCCTGACATTTGGGGGATATCTGTCCCGTCCTGACATTTGGGGGATATCTGTCCCGTCCTGACATTTGGGGGATATCTGTCCCGTCCTGACATTTGGGGGATATCTGTCCCGTCCTGACATTTGGGGGATATCTGTCCCGTCCTGACATTTGGGGGATATCTGTCCCGTCCTGACATTTGGGGGATATCTGTCCCGTCCTGACATTTGGGGGATATCTGTCCCGTCCTGACATTTGGGGGATATCTGTCCCGTCCTGACATTTGGGGGATATCTGTCCCGTCCTGACATTTGGGGGATATCTGTACTGTTCTGACATTTGGGGGATATCTGTACTGTTCTGACATTTGGGGGATATCTGTACTGTTCTGACATTTGGGGGATATCTGTACTGTTCTGACATTTGGGGGATATCTGTCCCGTTCTGACATTTGGGGGATATCTGTACTGTTCTGACATTTGGGGGATATCTGTCCCGTCCTGACATTTGGGGGATATCTGTACTGTCCTGACATTTGGGGGATATCTGTACTGTTCTGACATTTGGGGGATATCTGTCCTGTCCTGACATTTGGGGGATATCTGTACTGTCCTGACATTTGGGGGATATCTGCACTGTCCTGACATTTGGGGGATATCTGCACTGTCCTGACATTTGGGGGATATCTGTACTGTTCTGACATTCTTGGACCTCAAGAAATTAGATTGGCTGTCAGTACTTCAGGATTGATCAATATTCAGATCTATACCATAGTTTGTGAACTCTATAACTTTCCTACAAACTAAATAATAAATCCTAATTTGGGTTTTTTTTTTACCAAAGACATGTAGCAGAATACATCTCGGCCTACATTTATGAAGAACAATTATTTATTTGTAAACTTTTATAACAGAAACAAAGAAAAACGTGTTTTTTTTCAAAATTTTTGGTCTTTTTTTTGTTTATTTAGCAAAAAATAAAAACCCCAGTGGTGATTAAATACCACCAAAAGAAAGCTCTAGTTGTGTGAAGAAAATGATAAAATTTTAGTTTGGGTACAATGTTGTATGACCGCGCAATTGTCATTCAAAGTGTGAGAGCGCTGAAATGTGAAAAAATGGCTTGGGCAGGAAGGGGGAAAATTGCCCGGTATTGAAATGGTTAAGGGGACCAACTCCTGGTCATCAGCATCAGGTTACTTAAAACATCAGGTCATCTGGTGGGCATCAGGGGGGCAGACAGCACACCATCAGGTAATATTCGGCACCGAGGATGGATTAGCCACCAGGGGAATCACACTAGTAACTTCAGTCAGGTCACAATGGGCCTTTGAAAAAGTGCTTGTGCATGAAACATGTCAGGAAGCCTGCCTCATCGACACAGTATGCTTGGTACACTTTCTTATGGACATCAGACTACCAGATTGTTACTATTTGGACATCATTTATCCATTGTGAATTTATTTCATCTTTTCATTTTAACCTTGAATAAAAGTTACTACACTATGGGAAGTCTTTTTGTTTTTGGCTCACTTCTGGTGAGTCTTTTCCACAAGGATACCCATTGTGACCTGACTGAAGTTACTAGTGTGATTCCCCTGGTGGCTAATCCATCCTCGGGGCCGAATACTACCTGATGGTGTGCTGTCTGCCCTCCTGATGCCCACCAGATGACCTGATGTTTTAACCAATTGCCACCCAGCCACCGCATATAAACGGTGGCAGGGCGGCACTCGTAGGCAAAAGCACGTTTTAAAACGGCTGCCTTCAAAACAGGTAGGGGGGCGCGCGCGAGGCGCGCGCCCGCCCTACCTGTCCCGCGGGTGTGTCAACAGCGGGTGTCAGCCGACGGGTCACGGACGGTTTTTACCGGCCGTTTTCCCGCGATTGCCGGTGATCACTGACACAGAGCAGGGCTGCATTGTTTACACACAGCCCTGTTCTGTGTCCGTTCTCTGACAGCTTGTGAGAAGCTGCAGAGTTTCTCTCCCTCGATCAGCTCCCCCCTCCCTCCCCCATCCAGTACACAACCCCGCCCCCTAGTAAAACACTCCCCGTACACTGCAAATTCTAAAAATGTTAAGCCCTTCCTCCCCAGTGACATTAGTACAGTTTCAGTGGTTTTTTTTTTTCACTGATCACTGTATGGGTGTCACTGGGGATGTCAGTGACCCCAAGTCAGTTCCCCCCCCCGTGTCAAAATGTCCGCCGCAGTCCCGCCATAAGTCGCTGGTCGCCGCCATATGTCGCTGATTGCCGCCAAAAGTCGCTGATCGGCGCCATTATTAGTGTAAATAAAAATTAAAAATCCCAGTATCTTTCCCGCCATTTGTAAACGCTATAACTTTCACGTAAACCAATTAATTTACACGTATTGGGATTTTTTTTTTTAGCAAAGACATGTCGCAGAATGCATTTTGGCAGAAATTTATGACTAAATTAGATTTTTGCGTTTTTTTTTTACTGGACATGTTTTATAGCAAAAAGTCCAAAATATTGTTTTTTTTTTTTTTCCTCAAAATTGGCAGCCTTTTTTTTTAAAGCGCAAAAAATAAAAAGTGCACAGGCGATCAAATACCACCAAAAGAAAGCTCAATTTGTGGGGAAAAAAAGGATGTAAATTTCATTTATGTACCGTATTGCATGACCGCGCAATTGTCCGTTAAACTAGCGCAGCGCTGTATAGCAGAAAAATGGCGTAAATTCCATTATCCATACCATAGTTTGTAGACGCTATAACTTCCACGCAAAGCAATCAATATACACTCATTGGGATTTTTTTTACCAAAAACATGGAGCAGAATACATTTTGGCCTAAATTTATAACTAACTTTGAGTTTACTATATATTTTTTTATAGCTGAAAATAAAAAATATTTTTCTTCAAAATTTTTGGCCTTTTTTTTGTTTATAGCGTGAAAAATAAAAAGCGCACAGGTGATGAAATACCACCGAAAGAAAGCTCTATTTGTGTGAAAAAAAAGGACGTAAATTTCGTTTGGGTGCAGCATTGCATGACCGCGCAATTATCAGTTGAATTAGTGCAGCGCCGAGTAGCAAAAAGAGGCGTGGTCATTAAGGGGGGTAAATCCTCTGGAGCTCAAGTGGTTAAGTAACCTGATGCTGATGACCAGGAGTTGGTCCTTAACTAGTTGCCGACCACAGATAGCCGAATGACGGCTGCACTGCGGCCGGCCAGTTCTGGGTGGACGTCATATGACGTCCTCCCAGAACGCGCTCTCCTGCGCGCCCCAGGGGGCGCGCAACCGGCGATCTCCGTGATCGCTGTGTCC